CCGTCGGAAGGCTACAACCAACAACCAGGTCGGTCGCCTCCGTAATCATCGTTCGCCTCCTGTACTCACGGAAGTCCAGTACCCAGCTCTCCAGCCCCGTTGACATGTTCCGAACCTAGCCCCGCTTCCGCTCAACAACCAACAAGCCAATCATGCGAGTATCCAAATGGTTCCCAACAGTCGGACAGTTCAGCATCGTCTCGCTGCTGCTGCGGCCCAGCCAATTCCAGGTTCATCCACCGCCACTGGTTTATCATACGCTGCTGCTTTCTCAGGTGAACCTGTCGACGATTCTCCGTTCACCTCGGAGGAACTTGTGACGCTCGTGGCCGAGGTCATCATCATCATGCGCACCTGCAAGACTCGATCTGAACAGCTACATGCTGCCCTGTCCCTTGTCACTAAGTATGGACCGTGAAGCCATCAAGATCGTAAATTGGAATGCTTGCTCCTTGAAGAGCAAAAACATCGAGTTTGTTGACATAGCCGTCATCACCGAGACTCACTTGAAGCCCGAGCTGAACGTCTTCCTTCCCGACTTTCGGCTCGTAAGGCTTGACCGCACCAGCTCCAGAGGAGGGGGAGTGGCCATCGCTGCGAGGCGGAACATCAGCTGCCGGCTACTACCTAGTTTCCAGCTGAAAATTATCGAAGCCATCGGAATTGAGGTGAGCACATCGCTTGGTCCAATCACCATCATCGCGGTCTACTGCCCCAAGCAAACCAACATTAGGGACGGCTCGGCCGCAGACCTCCGAAGAGACATCATCAAGCTAACACGACGGCGGCAAAATTTCGTCATCGCTGGCGACCTGAACGCCAAGCATCAAGCCTGGGGCAATAGTCGGCGAAATCAAAACGGCACAATATTATACAACGATCTGCAGCAAGCCCACTACAACATTCTGTGTTCGGACACTCCCACCCGGTTGAGTCGATCCGGAGCTCATGCCACCATCGACATCTTCATCAGCAACATTGGCGATAACATCTCCCAACCTATCGCCTATCAGGAACTGAGCTCGGACCACTATCCGGTGGTGGCCGAAGTAAGTTCCTCGGCCAATAGGTTTCAAGCTTCCCGGCGAAATTACCATCGTGTCAACTGGCAGCAGTATCAGCGCTGTGTGGCGATATCCCGTGCCAGGGAGCAGCACGTACCAGCATCCAGACAGGTGAGTCATACTCTGAACCTTGACAGCCCAACCAAAGATCTTATCAGGCTCCGTAACACCATTCGTAGGCAGTTCCAGCGTTCTAAGCTGCCCCACTTGAAGACCAATGTCAATAGGCTAACCAAAATTATCCAGGCCAGGATGGTGGAACTCAGAAATAACGATTTTACCAAAAAGATTAGCTCTCTCCCAAATTGTGCAAAACCTTTTTGGAAGATGACCAAAATTTTGAAAAATAAGTCGAGACCGATCCCTCCTCTTTCCTCTGTTGATCACTTAGACACATCCCTACTGATAACCCCAGTTGAAAAGGCCAATGCTCTTGGTCAACATTTTGTGATTTCACATAATCTTGGTCAAACCATGGTGAGCCCCCATGGGCCTGCCGTACTGGAGGCAATGACTAGAGTCGCTGACACCCCCGTAGTAGTGCATGATCATAGTAGAATATCGGCTGATGAGGTGATAGCAGCTATTAGAAGTACTAAAAACATGAAGGCTGCAGGTATGGATGGTGTAGTCAACCTCGAGTTGAAAAACTTGAGTATTGACTTCTTCAACCATCTTACCGTTATCTTCAACAAATGTTTGGAGCTTGGCTACTTCCCTGCATGCTGGAAGTTATTCAAAGTGATTCCAATACACAAGCCTGACAAAGATCCTACCGGTGCCAAAAGCTATCGCCCCATCAGCCTCTTGTCCTCCATCTCGAAGCTATTCGAAAAAATGATACTCAGCCGTCTGCTGGTGTTTTCAAATGATAATAACATCTTTCTCAAAGAGCAATTCGGGTTTAGGAAAGGCCACTCTACCATCCACCAACTCAGCGGAACAAGTCCGTTTCCAATACATCTGCCATGACATTGTTGGACGTCGAGAAGGCGTTCGACAATGTCTGGCATGATGGTCTAGTGTACAAGCTGCATCGATATAACTTTCCGATCTACCTCATGAAGATCATCAAAAACTACTTTTCGGGCAGATCATTCCAGGTCTACTTGAACAATGTCCCCTCTGATACGTTCAACGTTGATGCAGGGGTCCCTCAGGGCAGCCTGCTTGGGGCTATCCTATTCAACATTTTCACGTCAGACGTTCCTCGCCCGCCGGGTGGTGGTATCCTGTCTATGTTCGCAGATGACACCTCCATCATCTATAAGGGTCGAGTGATCCGTGCTCTGGCGAGTAAACTACAATCAGGCCTGGATGTTTTGTCCAACTATTTTAAGAGCTGGAAGATTTGTATCAATGCAGCTAAAACACAAACCATTCTGTTTCCACATTCGTATTCACCTCGGCTTGTTCCGCCTGCTAACGTCAAGATCCATCTTGATAAAACTCCCATTGAATGGTCGAGTGAAGTAGTCTACCTTGGTCTCACCCTCGATAGCAAACTGCTATTCCGATCCCATGTGGACAAGGCATCCACCAACTTGGTGGCACCAAGTGTAACATCTTGATCAGGTCGCTCTACCCTCTGATAAATAGGAAGTCCACCCTGTCCCTCAAAACAAGCTTGCTGTCCACAAGCAAATCATTCTGCCGGCTATTGAGTATGGTATGCTAATCTGGGAGAGTTGTGCTAAGTGCCAACACTTAAAGCTTCAGAGGATCCAAAACAAGATCCTCAGAATGATCATTAACAGTCCACCGCGAACTCGTAATTCTTAGAATCACCACCTGGCCGGTCTTCAAACACTCAAGGAGCGAAAGACTTCCACGCTGGAAAGGTTCAGAGTCGCCTGTCTGCGATCAAACCACCAGATCATTCGTGATTTGGCAACCTAGTTTAAGTAGTTAGGTGCTCAAGTAGGTAGGTTATCAAATTTTTAAATTCAAACCAAAACAATCCCACAAAGGGTATCCTGTAAATTAGCGCTAAACGCAATCATCACATTAGAATAACCAATTAACTAGAACAAAGATGAAGAGCCAAAGGCTAACCAATTGAAATGTTAAATCAAATGTTGAAACATAAAAACCCAGAAAATAAACGTAAATTTTACTACTATACTGCTTTTGCTCATTACCGCTTCGGACGGCGCGGCACTTGGTCCTGTAACAAACAGGACCAAGTCAGCGGCTAAAGGTGAACGGCATGATCACCTTCCACTATTAGGAATAAGCCTTGGGTCCCGTTTCACTAAACCGAAACGCGGAAAAGTTATATGTGCCAAACCGGTTCATGAGTTGATGGGTCGATAGGTAGTGTCCAGGTGAGGGAGCTGCCTCCCTGGCGTCGGTAGCATTGGTGCTCAGCACGGAAAACAAATCAACGAAAAAAAAGTGAACCATAACCGAAACATTGAAATACTTGAAAAATTTAAGATAAAGTCAAAAATGCATGACATACATCAATTTTGCGTGGTTCTACGTCATACTGCGGTCGTGTATAGGACACAACCCTTTAATTTTTTTAACCTGGATTTTGAACAGTCATTGATAAACTTCTTCACGTTTTTCGTAGGGGGGAATTCGAAATCTGCCTACCACAGTTGAAAATTTTATGATTCAATTGGGAAATGCATGAAGAAGTTTTTTTTTTAATAAATTTTCAAAACTCCCATTTTTTTAGCATACACGGTGTAAACAGTACTTTTGTAAGTATACAATAAACAACACGAAAAATGGAAAACTAAAAATAAAATAATGAAACATCATTTGCATTACTTTTCATTGTATTTTCTTAATAATATATATAAAAGAAACCAACAAAAAAACATTAACTGCTGGTTCAGCAATAGACAATTGAAGCTGGCTGGAGTATTAGAAAAAAGGGAATTAAAAAGAATACTGCCGTTTCAGTAATATTTTACTAGTGTACTGAAAAATCAGTTCAACGCTGTCATTTATTCATGTCCTGAAGATTCAGCAAAAAATATTGGATTTACTGAAGACACAGTACATTGTTGCCATTGTGGAATAAACTCAAATTGCTGGAAGTTTCAGCACCATTATTTTACTGAAAAGTTTGCTGATCTTCCATCAAGTCCAAAATCAGCAAAATTTTGCTGATTATCAGCGATTTAAATTTGGTGCGTAAGCAATCGAGTTTTGCATTGGATGCTCTGCGAAGTACTTCTAGAATCGTACTAGTAATTGTTCTGAATGTCGATCTCTCCCTATATCGATGGTCCCTTCAATATCGGGAAATGGAAAGTCTGTAATAGACTGTACCTAATAGAAATTCCGACTAAAGTGCTCATACGATGAGAAAAAATAGATGAATGTTCATGGGATTTTAGCCTTACGCAGCTAGAAACTGAGGCCGGATGTGGCCTATATAGTGCTGTGCTGTGATTTTTACTTCCATTGAGCTGCTTTTTGAACGCACATGTAATTTGATGTGTCACATGATGGGATTTATTCATTTCAGGCCGCATTTACTTTCAAGGCAGTTACAAACCAGAACATGTTCTGTCCATTCATCTCCAGAACCAGTTCACGATTTCAAAAATATTCAAAAAATGCTATGAGACCATAGCTGCCGCTCATCGGAAGTCGGCCACATTTACGTGTTTGTAAAAACTTTTTTTTTTCGGTAGAAATGGTTTCTAATCACCCATATTTCCATAATACTAGGTGAACTCAACAACTTTGTTCTAGAAAACTTTGAACACGTTTTTCACGGCTTGCTGATTTGTGCTATGGGATGGATTTGCCATGAGCGGTAGATGGTACCTTGTCCCACCCACATCTTTGAAGGTGGACGCGCCTCTGGTCGTATTGCAAATGAGTTAGCAGTTAAACATAGTGGGATTGTGTCAAATTTTGTGCTGGCAAAAATGCTCGTTTAAAATGAAATTAAAACCAGTGACCACATACCTGAGCAAACAAATTCCCCTCGCTTCGCTGCAGCAGTGGTGCCATCGAGCACCGCACCACCACGTGGCAATCATCCATGACGGTGTTGAAAAACCGCCTCGTCGGCAGCAACGCCTCCAGATCGATCAGAAACTCTAAAAACCGCTCACAATAACGCACCGTTTCTTCACAAACTTGCCCCTCTTCCGCAATCGACTCCAATACGTTCATAAACTTGATCATCAGATTCTGCAAAAAGTGCCTCTCCCAGTCAACCCGTTCCTTATCGGTAGCCTTGTCCCGTTTCTGAAGCTTCTTCCAAAACTTCCTCCACTCGGGAATCTCCTTCAGTTCCTGGTCCCTTCGCTTCGGCTGCAAGCAGGACCACATAGCAAGCGAAACCAAACGTTTCGCTTGATTCCTACAAAGCTCCACTTCCATACTGTTGAAACAATGATTTAGGAAAACCAACAGAGCCGTTTGCTCCCGCATACTGAAAGAACTAACCACCGTATCTTCCAAACAGGCTTCCAATACACGCTGAAAGAACACCGGAAATTGATCACCATTCACTTCAAACACTTTCCACACTTCCACTTTCTCGCGAAACTTTTCATTCAACATCACCACAATCGACATCAGGTGCGCCCGAGAGGCCACCTCCCCGCGAAAATTCGGCCACAGGTAATTCTCCAAATACTGACTAAACTCCAGCATCATAATGCGTCGCATCGAATAACGCGACTCGCAAATTTCACGCCGGTAGATTTCCTCGATGATGCCGGCATTGAACTCCTCATGACTGTCAGCCGTGTCCGGGGCCCAGAACCGATTGGCCAACTAAAACAAAGCACATGAAAATAGCAAATTCAAAATTTAAAATTCCACACTCGCAACAGGTTAGGTCCCCGTCGCTATACTCACGAAGGTTAGCTCGTCGGCGTTGATTTGGGCCACGGTAAGAGCGCCTTTACGCAGTTTGGCCGGCGGTTCCTCCGCGGTGGGTTGAGGTTTCGTCATCTTAAGCCGAGATTTTTCCACGGAAACACACCTTTTAGGTACTTATTGGAGAAACGTTTTCAAGCCGAACCGGTTAGAGCGCCCGCCAGAGGAAAAAACACAACAAACACGCGCGGAATCAAAACAAAAACTGAACTCCGAAGGAGGGAAGCGCGCGAGAGAAAACCGAGAAAACGAGAAGCGACAAAGTGACAGATCGACGCGAGCGAACAGCTGATTGGAGAAAAAGGAAGAAAAAAATAACAAACGAACGCAGCCATTTGGCGTTACGCGAGCGTAACGATTGTGGTAGTTTGTTTTATCTATGTCGCCGTTGTTATAAGTTTCTGGTATGTCTACATTTAGGCTCAACATTATTTAATAAAATTAAAATCCAATGAATATGGACATGAAAGCAACTCGAGAGTGAGTTCAATTAGACTCAATTTTGCCAAAAGTGGATTTGCTCAAATGTATGTCGAATTTTCGGGTTTTTTTAGGATAAACTTCTCAAAAATGAGAAAAATAAAATAAAATTTAAAATTTTGCTCAGTTTGCCCGAAAATTTTGCTCAGATGCCGCTGTGATTTATTTTGAAAGCAGAAATCTGGAAAATGATCATGTTAACGAAGTTTGGACCTTTTCTGAAAAAAATATTTGGTCTACGTCTTGGGTCATTTTTGTACGCAACCCCTTACCATTTTTTTGACGTAGGACTACGTCTGTGATTTCGATATGGGGATACACTTTGTGAAAACCAAAAATGGAGCATGTTACAAAATTGTGAAAGATTTTGAACGTTAATAATTCAGCTGCCCCTGGACCAATTTCAATAATTTTAACACCAATCGATCAGAAATATTTCAACGCATCTGTTAAATTTAAGACTTTGCCATTTTTTGCCATTTTTCGCTGTGGGCCATCTATGTCAAGCGCGTCATACTTAAGAGTATAAACAGAGAGCACCCCGCTCAAATTCCTATTCTTACACAAATCACAAGCTCCTGCTGCAGTTTTCAAATGAGATTAATTATGTAAGACCACGTAGTCCTACGTCACTATTGCGTACAACCCCATAAGGCTGTCCCTTGTAGTTTTTGTTTTCGCTTCCAGAATGGACAGTTTTGAAAAAAAATTCCAATCTCCACACATTATTTTTCCGGTTAACTTGTCGGTGCATTTCTGAATTTTTGGGTACTGCCCTAAAGATCTCTCAAATTCAGTAAAGTTATCAAGAATTTCCTGGATTTCTCAGAACTTTTAAAAAACTTCCGCAAATTTCCTGATCTGCCCTGAATTTATTTGATCTATTCAGATGATCCTGCTTTTTCCTAATGTTTTTGAATATTGAAGTGTTTCAAGGTCGTGGAGCATCACTTTAAATCTCCAAATTTCCCTGAACTTCTCTGCACTTGCCAGAAGTTTTCGTTATTCTATGATAATGTTCCCTGAATTTTCAAGAAGTTCTCGGAACTTCTCTAATGTTACATGACAATATTCCTGAAATTTTTGAAGCATTCCTGAGATTCTTGGAATTTTCCATAATTACTCGGAACTTCATGAAAACCATAATTTGGGGGCAAATTGATCACCGGGGTGGAATTGATCATTATGCGTTGCACTTTTAACTGTCAAGTGTAACATTTTCGGTGAAAGATATCAAGAGAAATCTTAATAGTACACACTTATAGCGAATTCGTTTATTATTCAGTTCCAACCTGGATCGGGTATCAAGATTGGGTCTGCTTGTTTGCTGACAAACCTCAGTTTGCTCGTTTGTTTTTAAAACCTAGCACAGGTTGAGGTTCGCACTGACAAAAAGTTCGGTTTCGGTTCCAACCCCGATAATAAACGAATTCGCTATTAGATTTTTTCGCCGAGATGGGCACCACCGAGCAGCTCGGCATTTTATTTTGCTGGATCTCAGTGAAAAACTTGTCGAGATTCAGCTAACAAACGGGAATTTTGCCGAGATCTCAGCTAACAAACATATTTTTTGCTGAATTTCCAGCAAAATGAAATGCCGAGCTGCTCGGTGGTGCCCATCTCGGCAAAAAATCTAAGTGTGTATATTATAATGAGACTCCAATGATTGCATTGATGTGTTTTTCATAACAAAAAATTATATTTTCGTGCACAAATTTCAATTTTATAGAGCGTTTTATAGACGTTAAGTAGCATACAATATCAAAAAACAAACAAACGATCATAGGACTGCAACGATTGATGTCATTAACATTCAAGTATCATTTTTTACTAAACTAAGTATTAATGAATCCGAATTAAATTACGGTAGAATGTTTCAAATAATAAGAAAGTCAGGGTTTTTCGCAAGATTACAGTGATTTTGAATTAACTACATTTAGGCGCAACTGTGGATTTAAGACATCCTTTTTTGGTGTTTCTACTGAAATTACTTTTCACATAAAGGTTTGAGCATCTGAATCGGATTCAGGGAACCCACATTTAACGAGACCAATTACTAGCAATGCACTGAGAAGCCATTTGAGGGGTTGATCAATTTCACTCCATATCAATATTTTAAAATTTTAGATTTCAAAAATTTCCTAAAAATTAACAAAACATCCAATATTATAAGAATTCTTGCAGCGTGTCCATCGAAAGCTGCTGGTGAAAATAACATTAGTTTTTCAATTTAGTCTATTGTAAAAATTTATTTAGATATTTACTTTAAATAGTGATCAATTTGCTCCCGGATTACGGTACTCTGATTCAACAACTCGAACATCCTTGATAATAATGAAGGTGGCAGAGAATCTCAAAACCTCTCTGAAGATCTCTGAACTTCCCTAAAGATCTTGAAGTTTACGTAAATTCTCTGAGTTTCTAGTTAAGTTAATTAAGCTTTACTGGGGTTTTCTGATCATATCTGGTGTCCTCGAAGCTACACGGAAGTTTTCGCAATTTTCATGAAGTTCTTCACCTGAAAATTTTCCTGGAACTCTTGTAAAATTCACAAAATATATTTGAAGTTTTCAAAATTTCTCAGGAGTTCTCTGAACTTCTCTGAAATGTCTAAATCTCTTTAAGGGTCTTGAAATTTTTCTGGAATTCATGAAGCTGTCCTGACGTAACTGGGATTGCCCTTAAGACCGTAGAACTCTAGACGTAGCTTAGGTTCATGGAATTTCTATAAAGTATCCACTATTTTCCTCGAGTTTTTTATCAGACTGGACTTTCATGAAGTTCTTCTTCTTCTACAGTCTGTTCCTGAAACTTATCCGAACTCCTCGGTATTTCCTGTTAAAACTGGGCCACTCTGAAGTTCTCTAATCTTTCCTGAAGTTCTTGGAACTTACCTCAAGTTCTTGGAACTTCCCTGAAGTTCTGGTTAATCTATTGAATGTTTCTAGAATCATTCTGAAATTAATCAAACTGCCCTGAAGTTCTCTTAACTTCCCGCAGTTTTCTGCGCTTTCTTGAATTTATCGGAGCTTCTGTATCCGATTTTTTTCTTAAGTAGGGGAAGGAGAGGCATAACATAACAAATGGAGCCTCATGTGCTTTAGCCTTGAAAGTTTTATGGTTCGTAACAAAATAATTGGTCATTAATCATTGCAATGGTGATATTGAAACTACTACAATCAATTAGAGGTTTCTGACTGGAGTGTGGGATGCTCATTATGCCCCACCTGTTCACTATGCCCCTTTTACGCCTACTCTTAGGCTTTATAGCATTTGATGAATTTACGCTTAAATTTGACACTTCGAAAATAAATTATAATGTACGAAAATACTTCTGTTGATGCAATGACGTTTATATAAGGTCTGGGCCAAAAGGCTTATTGGTGTTAGTGAAATGTGCAAATGTTTAGTGGTGTTCGTATTTTATTGCAATGTTTATCTTTTTACACGAAACAGCTGTTGGCAGTGACGTATTTCTATCTGTTCGAAGATGTTCAGCAATGTTTACAACATTTTTGCTTCTAACACCAGCAAGCTGCCTGTTGGCCCAGACCTTATATAAATGTCATTGCTGTTGATTTTTGGTGCATTGCTTCCGATTTTTGAGAAGGTGTTTGTCAAAATTGATTTCTTGTCTAGAATAAAGTCTGGTACAATATCAGGTTTATTTGAAAAATTTCCATCCGTCAAATTTAAGTGATAATTCAACAAATGGAACACAGCCTTAAATTGCCTGATTTTCTCTGAAATAGCTTTAATTTTGGGAATATCATAAAATTTCTAGTTATTTTAAATTTAATGGAACTGTCTTTAAATTTTCGAAAATTTTGTGTTTGTGTAATACAGAGCGTTTTTGGCAACACGACGTCTTTATCTATTTATTTCCCCATTTTTTTTTTCAAATGCTGTCTGAACAGTTTTTCTTAATATAGATACCAAGCATCTCTAATCCCTAATGAGTGATCTAGTAATGTAATATCACAGATGAAATAAAGCGTGAGATGAATTTTCTAGAATAAATTAGAGATGACAAAAAGCCTAAAACGGGAAGACACTGTAGTCACAATTTATGTCTAAGCGGCACCCTACGTTCGGTTCTGCCAGAACTACTTCGGTAGGAAACCGAAGATCATCTGATCAGACGGCGGCGGTGAGTACATAAACAAAGATTTGCAACATTTCTATTCCTTGGAGGGCATTATCAGTCAATGCACCACCGCATACTCGCTGCAAAGGCCTCAAAATCCAATATCAATCTGAGTAAGAAATTAACCAGTAATAGACCCCCATACGGTAGTAGAAAATACACAACTTAACAGCAGCAGTGACAATGTTGCACATTTCCAGGGTCAGTTGTTTATAAACAGTTGCTACCGCGTCGTCAGCGATGCGCGCTGGCTTAACTAGGTGCTTCGAGAAAGGTCAAAGTAAACATTGGTGAGTAAGCATCATACATAACCGTTCCTACCGCGAGGAGCATTAATTCTTGTTAAAAAGAAACAGACACCGACTTTCCAAGAGAAAAGCTATCTGTCTCGCTTTATATGTACATACTGGAGAAAAACTATTGTGTAGAGTTTAAGTAACAAATTCATGTATAAAAGGTTTCGAATAATAAAGAATCGGGCAGTTGTTCTGATGAGTTTATTATCCGAGGTTTGCTAGGTGCGGACGAGCACAGTTCCAACCTCAGGATAACTGATTCATCAAAGAGCTTTTTCCATACAGT